CACCTAGAGCCAGACATACTGGAATGTGAAGTCAAGTGGGCCTTAGGAAGCATTATTACGAACAAAGCTAGTGGAGGTGATGGAATTCCAGCTGAGCTATTTCAAATCCTAAAAGATGATGCTGTGAAAGTGCTGTGCTCAATATGCCAACAAATTTGGAAAACTCAGCAGTGGCCACAGGACTGGAAAAGGTCAGTTTTCATTCCAATCCCAAAGAAAGGCAATGCCAAAGAATGCTCAAACTACCACACAATTTCACTCATCTCACACGCTAGTAAAGTAATGCTCAAAATTCTCCAAGCCAGGCTTCAGCAATATGTGAACCATGAACTTCCAGATGTTCAAGCTGGTTTTATTTATTTATTTATTTTTCAAGCTGGTTTTAGAAAAGGCAGAGGAACCAGAGATCAAACTGCCAACATCCAGTGGATCATTGAAAAAGCAAGAGAGTTCCAGAAAAACATCTATTTCTGCTTTATTGACTATGCCAAAGCCTTTGACTGTGTGGATCACAATAAACTGTGGAAAATTCTGAAAGAGATGGGAATACCAGACCACCTGACCTGCCTCTTGAGAAACCTGTATGCAGGTTAGGAAGCAACAGTTAGAACTGGACATGGAACAACAGAATGGTTCCAAATTGGGAAAGGAGTACGTCAAGGCTGTATATTGTCACCCTGCTTATTTAACTTATATGCAGAGTACATCATGAGAAATGCTGGGCTGGATGAGCACAAACTGGAATCAAGATTGCCGGGTGAAACATCAATAACCTCAGATTATGCAGATGACACCACCGTTATGGCAGAAACTGAAGAAGAATTAAAGAGCCTCTTGATGAAAGTGAAAGAGGAGAGTGAAAAAGTTGGCTTAAAACTCAACATTCAGAAAACTAAGAGCATGGCATCCGTTCCTATCACTTCATGGCAAATAGATGGGGAAACCGTGGAAACAGTGGCTGACTTTACTTTTTTGGGCTCCAAAATCACTATGGTGATTGCAGTGACTTCTGCCATGAAATTAAAAGACACTTACTCCTTGGAAGGAACATATGACCAACCTAGATAGCGTATTAAAAAGCAGAGACATTACTTTGTCAACAAAGGTCCTTCTAGTCAAGGCTATGGTTTTTCCAGTAGTCATGTAGGGATGTGAGAGTTGGATTATAAAGAAAGCTGAGCGCTGAAGAAGTTGATGCTTTTGAAACGTGTTGGAGAAGATTCTTGAGAGTCCCTTGGACTACAAGAATATCAAGCCATTCAATCCTAAAGAAAATCAGTCCTGAATATTCATTGGAAGGACTGATGCTAAAGCTGAAACTCCAACACTTTGGCCACCTGATGCAAAGAGCTGACTCACTGGAAAAGACCCCGATGCTGGGAAAGATTGAGGGCAGGAGGAGAAGGGGATGACAGAGCATGAGATGGTTGGATGGCATCACCGACTCAATGGACATGAGTTTGAGTAAACTCTGGGAGTTGGTGATGGACAGGGAGGCCTGGCGTGCTGTCGTTCATGGGGTTGCAAAGAGTCGGACACGACTGAGTGACTGAACTGAACTCCACTAAGTTGTGATTCTCTGTGTGTCTGTCTGTCTCTTTGGTTCTTAGAGCAGTAATTTTCCCTGTGGCTTCACATCTCTGCCTGGTTTAAGAAGAATTGTTGATTTTTCAGTTTGAAAAGTTTTTTACTTGTTAAGCAGAGTGATGACTTCTAAGCTCTTTACCTGCTGGACCAGAAACTGCCTGTTATCTTCTTTTTACATATAAAGAAACCAAGGCACAAAGAAGTTTAATAATTTGATCAAAGCCTCCCAGCTAGTATGTGGTAGTGCCAGGATTCGAATCTCGGTGCTTTAGCTCAGGAATCTGTGCCCTTAACCATCATTGAGGAGAACAAGCAAGTTGGGCCAGTGGGGGAAGGAGAATGTGTTTTCTTACCATGAGATCTTTTATATCTCCTAAGTTTACATTTTCTTTTGAATTTTTTTTTTTTTTTTGGCCATGGCTTGTGGCATGCCATCTAGTTCCCAGATCAGGGATTGAACCCATGTCCCCTGTGTTGGGAGCTCAAAGTCTTAACCACTAAGACCACCAGGAAAGTCATTACATTTTTTTCAAAACATTTTCTAAAACTGTGAAAGGAACATGTGCCAGAAGGGTTGGTTTGAAAATGATGATTACTGTAACTTGAAGTAGATGTAATAATTAAACATTTTAGAGTAAAGGGGGGAAAAATTCACTCCTAAATCTACAATTTTTACAGATTACATTTCAGTCCTTGTCCATCTTTGTGAATATTATATGTGGGTATTATGTCCTCTTTTTCACTTAACATTGTACCATGGGAATTTCTCCCATGTTTCCATATCTTCTTTACAAATCATATTTAATAGCTGTATAATAGCCTGTCTTGGCGATGTGCTATAATTTACAAAAGCATTCTTGTTTTGCTTGACATTTGATAACTGATATATATTTTTTTACAATAATAGATAATGTTCCACAGTTGTTTCCCTTTCACTGAGTGATTTCATTCAGGATAGCCTCATGAGAGGAATTACTGGGTCAATGTATCTGGATAGATGTATAATTATCACCAATTTCTGTTATATTAATTTCTAGAAGGACTGTACCAATTATCTGGGCTTCCAGCATTGTATAATTATATCAAATATAATAATATAAAAGGTTATATGTACATATATGGAAAATCTTTTAGATGCAAGGGTAGTGTCAAACTAAGAGACTGTAAAATAAGACTCCTTCCATGAACTGAAACATGGCTTATTCTCAGATTTAAGTTTATGTTACATGGGGCCTTGCATATAGGAGACATTCCATAGAATTTTTTTTTTTGGATGTGGACCATTTTTAAAGTCTTTATTGAAGTTGTTTCAATATTGCTTCCATTTTATGTTTTGGTTTTTTGGCCTTGAGGCATGTGGGATCTTAACTCCCTGACCAGGGATCAAACCCACACCCACTCCTTTAGAAGCTGAAGTCTTAACCACTGGACCGCCAGGGAAGTCCCTATAGATATTTATTGATTGGATAGATGATGAGTGGATGGATGAATGACATCCAAGTGATTTCTCCTAATTAACACTTAAAAAGTTAGTAACAAAGTTGAAATGATTTTCTGATTCAGGATATAGAGTTCTTTCACCTACGATAACTGCATTCTTACCCCATCCAGTCAGCAGTTACTGTAAACTTAGTATATGAAAAGCATGGTCTGGAAGCTGAGGGTTCTGTGTTATCAGTAAACATAGTCCCATCCATCATGGTCCTCACAGTTTGACTGGGAAACTCGCCTACCTCTCCAGACCAAACCCTCATTATAAAATGAAGATGCTGACCTCAGAGGTTCCCTTCAGCTTCTGGGTTCAGTGATCTTCTCAAACTCTAAATTTCTTCCTTCTGGACACTAAGACTCTAAGCATATTTTAAAGAGCAGTCTAAAACGACTTTCTTGGTGGTCCAGTGGTTGAGAGTCCACTTGCCAAAGCAGGGCACACGGGTTCTAACCCTGGTCTGGGAAGATCGCACATGTGGCAGAGCAACTAAACGTGTCTTCCACAACTGCTGAGCTACTTCAGAAGCCTGTGCGCCTCAGAACTTGTGCTCTGAAGCAAGCAGCCACCACAATGAGAAGCCCTCGTCCCGCAGCTAGACACAGCCTGTGTGCAGCAGTGAAGACCCAGTGCAGCCAAAAATAAATAAGTAAATCAAAATATTTTTAAAAATCTAGCTTTTTTTTTTTTTTTAAAGAGCAACCTAAAGAAACTAGTGATTCTGCATAATGACAGGAAGTCTTCTTCCTACTCCTCATTTGTTCTTTCAGTCATCATTCTTTGAGCACATGCTAAACATGAGCCACTATTTAGTTCTATAAATAAGAAAGAAAAAAAAGAGAAAGTCGTCTTCTCCTAAAACGTCTTATCCTCTAAGATGGGAAAGCTTTCTGAAGAGGAGTAGTTTGGGAACACAGCAGAACTTCACACAGTGCTTGTACGTATGTGTGAACGGGATGTGCTTGTTCTGCTGTCAGGGAGGGGAGAGGCTCCCCTTTGCTCTTCTCCGAGTTCCTGAGGCTGGACCAATCATAACATTGACACGAGACAGATTTACAGGAGAAAAAGAAAAATTTAATTTGTGTGCACAGAGGTCGCAGAGAAATGGAACCTAAGAAGTGGCCAAAGCAAATAGCCTTTTACTTTGTAGACAAAGAAGCAATAAATTTGAGAGGGACTGACAGGACAAAGAAACAGGTTTGGGTGTTTAATTAGTAAGGAATTTAAGCAGAGTTTGGACTTGGGTAGTGATTTAATGAAGAAACAACAAGCGCGCAGGCTTCTCAGCCCTGAATCCTGTCTCTGGTGATAACAATATCTTTCCAGCTCCCAATACAAGAAGGGCATCTTTCATGTGGAAGATTTATTTCCTGCTTTCAGGGATTCTAGAAAGGGTAAAGGTATCATTCTTTGCATTGACTGTTCCTTAAGTAATTTTAATTCAAACTAATCATCATGCTACTGAGGCCTATTTTGGGCCCCAATACTACTATTCTGGGACTTCCCAGGTAGCACTAGTGGTAAGGAACCCACTTTCCAGTGCAGGAGACTTAAGAGATTCAGGTTCAATCTCTGGGCCAGGAAGATCCCCTGGAGGAGGGCATGACAACCCACTCCAGTATTCTTGCCTGGAGAATCCCATGGACAGAGGAGCCTGGCGGGCTACAGCCCATAGTGTTGCAAAGAGTGGGGCACGACTGAAGCAACTTAGCATGCACTACTATTCTAGCTAAAATGTAAATAAAATGGTCTCTAGTAATAAAGCAGAGAAAGGAACAGCTAATACTGACTTAGGCTTACCCTCTAATGCTCCCAGAAGCTAATGGGAATTATCACTGAATATTGAAGGTTTATCATGGAGAAAAATACTTGTATTTTTGTACTTGCCAACATCAAGATGAAAGAGGATGAATGGTAGACTCACCATTTCTCTTCTTCTACTTGCACTCCTACGGACTGGAACTTACTGGGTGCTTTATTTCCCCCTGTCTTGTCAGGTTCTTCAGCATCATCCACCTGAAGAAATAGCCACAAGTAGAGGTGCTCTATTTTAGTCATCTTGCTTGAAAAACAAAGTCTCATTTCATTAGAAACATCTGTAGTATTACTGGAATGTTTGGTGATATGTTCAATATTTGTGTATTTGATGAACCACATCACTACATAATTAGCGTGTACTTTGACTCTGCTGATCTTAGTAAAATGCAGTTTTGTTCACTCCTAAGTTGCCCAATAAATGTCTGATTCCTGCAGAGATTTGTTAGGATGTACTTACTTGTGAGCACTATATTAGGAGGAAGTACCTCATGGGATGGGCTTCCCTGATAGCTCAGATGGTAAAGAATCCACCTGTAATGCAGGAGACCCTGGTTCAGTCCCTGGGTTGGGAAGATCCTCTGGAGAAGGGATAGGCTATCCAGGATGCTTGGGCTTCCCTCGAGGCTCAACTAGTAAAGAATCTACCTGTAATGACGAAGACCTGGGCTTGATCCTGGGTTGGGAAGATCCCCTGGAGAAGGGAAAGGCTACCCACTCCAGTATTCTGGCCTGGAGAATTCCATGGACTACAGTCCATGGGGTCACAAAGGGTCGGACACGACTGAGCGACTTTCACTTTCACCTCATGGGATTGTGCTTTTTAAAGTTTTGAATTTGCACATAACAAAATACAAAAGAAGGAAGAAATTTCACTTATTGTAGTTAGAATTGTTGATACTGGGATATTCAGCTATAAACTTATTAAGATAAACTGTAGAGTATTCATTTTTTTTCCCCTTAAACTAAGGAATTAGCTTTGGATATCATTCCATAGCTTCTAAATAGCTATGAGTATGTTATAATTCATATAGAAAATATATCTAAATATAACTGATAGTTTAACCCACATTTGAAACAAATTTTGCGACTATTCAGAGCAATTAGTTTTATTCATCTTTTTTCTTAATAAATTATTTCTTTTCTAAATATAAAAACAATTTAATGTAAGTCTTATAAAACTAAAACACAACTACTGAGTCTGAGAGCCACAACTAGTGAAGTCCATGTGCCTAAAGTCTGTGCTCTGCAACAAGAGAAGCCACTGCAAGGAGAAGCCCACGCATTGCAACTAGAGAAAGCCCACAAGGAGCAACAATGACCTAGTACAACCACACACACACAAAAAAAGAAGAACCAGGATGAGCCACGCCCTGGGAAAAGGAGAAAGAAAGGAAGCAGGGGTCCGAGGATGGGAGAGGAAGCTGCTGTTTCCTGTCCTAAGCTCGCCCCCACATCCAGACGCATAGCTTATTTGCATCAAAGTGTTGTCATCTTCTTAAGCTTTAGTCATTGCCAGTAAATTTATCTCTGACTTTAATCCCCTTAGATCCAAATATTGACAAACGTCACCTCTCTCATATAGTGTGTGGGGTAATCTATTTAAACTTTTGAAGAGACACTTAAAATTTTGAAATATGTTGCAGGATTAATTAAATCTCTGTCCTGAAAAAAACTAAGAAAGCCATGGCAGATGATACAATTTTAGCATTGTTTGGATAATCATCATCTTAAAGGAGGATGGGCTTCCCTGGTGGCTCAGCTGGTAAAGAATCCACCCGAAATGCAAGAGACCTGGGTTTAATCCCTGGGTTGGGAAGATCCCCTGGAGAAGGGAACGGCTACCCACTCCAGTATTCTGGCCTGGAGAATTCCATGAACTGTATAGTCCATGGGGTCATAAAGGGTCAGACACGACTGAGTGGCTTTCACTTCACTTCAAGTTATTATCACTGTTAAGTTTCTTGCTCATTCCCTGGTGGCTCAGATGGTAAAGAATCTGCCTGCAATGCAGGGGACGTGGGGTCGATCCCTGGGTTGGGAAGATCCCCTGGAGGAGGAAATGGCAACCCAGTCCAGTATTCTTGCTTGGGAAATCTCATGGACAGAGGAGCCTGGCAGGCTACAGTCCGTGGGGTGGCAAAGAGTCAGACATGACTGAGTGACTAATACTTAAAGGAGGATAATACTAACAATTAAGCCCAATATTTATTGAGCCCTTAGTATGCCAGGCACTATGCTTTGAACTTTACATATATTGTGCCCATCAGTTTGTATTATAACCTATAAAGTACCAATGCAACAGCAACTATTATTATTCTTATTTTCCAGATGAGGAAACTATTAAGTAATTGTCCTAAGTTCATACAGGTTGTGAAATAAATGATTATAATGTTAACTATTAGATATAGATTAAATTTAAAGTGTTGGAAAAGATTTGAGAATTCTGACCCTAAAAAGGTAAAACTGTGAGGAGTCCGAGGACCTAGTAATAATCTCACATATTTGAGGGATTCAGATTTAAGTTGGATTGCAGTGTAATGAAATTTGGTGACTATTTTGTAGCCTAAATTGTAATTTACTTGTTGTTGTTCAGTCGCTAAGTCGTGTCTGATTCTTTGCAACCCCATGGACTGCAGCACACTAGGCTTCCCTGTATTCCACAATCTTCTGGAGTTTGTTCATGTCCATTGAGTCAGTGATGCTATCTATCTCATCCTCTGCCGCCCTCTTTTCCTTTTGCCTTCTATTATTATTCTTCATCAAAGAAGCTGCATCACATGGTCACATTAAATGTGAAGGCGTAGAGATCTTCCTGATGGTCCAGTGGTTTAGACTTCAAGCTGTCAATGAAGGGGCCTGGGTTTGATCCCTGGTTGGGGAAGTAAGATCCTTCATGCCATGTGGCATAGCCAAAAGATTAAAAAAAAAAATTTAATTAATTAAAAATAAATGTGAAGGTACAATCTAGGCTCTGTCAACACAAGATGTGTGACCTTGGGTTCTCATTTCTGGGGAATTGGTGATCATACCACATATACCAGAAGGCTGCTGGCACATGTAGGGGCTGGATGAGACAACTATATAAAGCATGCAGCCCTCTCATATAATTTCTGTAGCTGTGAACAAAGATTTGCAGAAGAGCAAGAAAAATTCTTTGGCTCACTAAAATATCCAGATATTCAAGAAGCAGTGCAATCTCTGAAACAAAGTCTTTGTTCTCAATATTTTTTGTGAATTTCAGAGTAGTTCCATCTTACTGGCTAATAATAATAATACAAGTTGGATGTCATGTAGTGCATGGATGCTTTATTATTTGGAGAGTTACCTAACCAACCAGTGGACCTGGGAGGTGATAAAGATAGAAGCTTTTAAATAAAGTGAACAATAAGACTGATAAATAATTACCTTTAAATTATATTGTTAAGTAAAAAAGGCAAGATATAGACTAGTGAGAGGTATATGCTGCTAATATTTGGGTTAAAAAAAAGGGTATAAATAAAACATATATGTGGTTGACTATGTGCAAAATAGGGATTCCCTGGTAGCTCAGCTGGTAAAGAATCTGCCTGCAATGCAGAGGCCCCAGTTCGATTCCTGGGTCGGGAAGATCGCCTGGAGGAAGGGATGGGCTGCCCACTTCAGTATTCTGGGGCTTCCCTGGTGGCTCAGACGTAAAGAATCTGCCTGCAGTGCCTGAGACCTGGGTTCAATCCCTGGGTTAGGAGGATCCCCTGGAGTAGGGCATGGCAACCCACTCCAGTATTCTTGCCTGGAGAATCCCCATGGACAGAGGAATCTGGTGGGCTATAGTCCACAGGGTCACAAAGAGTCAGACATGACTGAGTGACTAAGCATGTGTGCAAAATAACCCTGCAGGGAGATGCAAATATTGGTAATATTAATTCTCTCCAGGAAGGAGAACTGACTGGTAATTCCTTCTCCCCTGGAGAAGGAAATGGCAATCCAGTCCAATATTCTGGCCTGGGAAATCCCCTGGACAGAGGAACCTGGCTGGCTACAGTCCATGGGGTCACAAAGAGTTGGACACAACTTAGCAACTAAACGAACAACAACAGCAAAATGGACATAATATAAGATTCTCCATATTAACCCGTTTTAAGTGTCCATTTCCAGTGGCATTAGGTACATCCACATTGTTGCGCTACCAGCAGCATTATCCATCCCCAGAATCTTTTTTCATCATCCCTAACTGAAACCCTCACAGAAAGCTGCATTCTGTAAACTCAGCCCTCCAAATAACCCTAGGTGGGCTATATTAGAAAACAGACCCCGGAAGATGAAATAATTTGCCTGGGACAACACGGAGGAGGGACCTCTGCTCTTCCCCACTCCTCAGAATCCTCTGGGCGGTGAGGGAATCAGCTCCTGGGATGTGGTTGGGGCGAGGGTGGGTGGAGGCTGGCTCCAGACCAGGCCTCCTGCTAGGTCATCTGGTCCCAAGCCACCAGCGCTACAAGTTCTTTTAGGAAGCGACAACTCGTGCCATGGTAACCTGTAGGTTACATAAAAGCATTTGACTAGTTGCTACCAGAGAAAGTCTAATTGCCCTTTCAAAGTGGACGCTGCAGAGTGGATGGTGAACATCCATCATCGCTGTGAAAACGTACCCCATGCCTGCTCTCAGATGTGCCTTTGAGTTGGTTTAGCATGGACAGATTTATTGGCTGCCATGTCAGGAAGTTATTATTCAAAGGGCACCTGCATAATGGTACAGCACAACAAAAACAGGGGAAAGAATGACTCCTCTACATGGATGGAAGGAACCTTCCAGCAGAGTAAGCCAAGCTGAACCGATCTACCAACCAAGAATCAGTCAGATCTTATCACCTGGCAACAGAAAACAGTGACCTGAACTGAGAAGCCTGCCAGAGTATCCACCTTTTTAATGACACGCATGATTAAGTAACCCACAATCACACTGACCCTGGTGCACATTCTTCTCTCATGATGCTGTGATGTGAGTTATTGCTTTCCATGCTGTCCATCCCTTTTGGTTTCACTGGTCATCACTCCCACGTCTGTGCGAAGTAGTTCACATTTTTGTTCTCATGTGGTTACTCAGTAGTATCAAACACACTGTAACACCACCCAGCAACCCAGGTTTTTCTTGGATGCCCACTCTTTTTTTGAGACTTAAAATGTGCCTCAGGAATTGAGGGCACTTCATGTTTGATATTGCGTCCATGTTTGTTTAATTATTATCCCCTTGTCTCACAACATTCAATTAGAAGAACAAAAATAAAAGCAGCTAATCAACTATTCTTCAATTTTAAAAAAATGGAATATTTTGGGGGGAAAATTGTTAATAATGTCTATAGACAAACACTTTCATAATTTTTTTAAATCACTTTTTTTTTTTTGCCACATGGCTTACAAAATCTTAGTTCTCTGACCAGGGTTTGAACCTGCACCCGTGGCAGTGAAATCGTGGAGTCCTAACCACTGGACCACCAGGGAACTCCCTAAAATTACATTTAACTTAGGGGAGTCCAGAGCCAATAATTTGAGAGTCTGGTTCTACAATAGCTACATCATCCAAAATGGCAAGAGAGCAGATCTTCTGGGAAAACAAAAAGTTTACATTTCTTGATTTTGGGTTCCTATTTCAAAGGACAGAAAGTGAAGTTGTTGGGACTTCCCTTGTGGTCCAGTGGTTAAGAATCTGCCTGCCAATGCAGGGAACATGGGTTGGATCCCTGGTCCGGGAAGATTCCACATGCTATGGAGCAACTAAGCCCATACACAACTGAGCCCATGATTCCCAACAAGAGAGGCAATCGCAATGAGAAGCCCTCACGCGGCAAATGGAGAGTAGTCCCTGCTTACTGCAGCTGGAGAAAGCCTGTGCGCAGCAACAAAGACCAGGGCAGCCAAAAATAACTTGCTCAGTCGTGCCCGACTCTTCGCAACCCCATGGACTATTACAGTCCATGGAGTTCTCCAGGCCAGAATACTGGAGTGGATAGCTGTTCCCTTCCCCAGGGGATCTTCCCAACCCAGGGATCGAACCCAAGTCTCCCGCATTGCAGGCAGATTCTTTACCAGCTGAGCCACCAGGGAAGCTCCCCCAAATATAACTAATTAATTAATTTTTTTCAAGAAAGGGAGGCTGTTACCTGGATCCCAATGGACAGGCATCGGTTTTTCTTGAAGTGGTCCTTCTTCCTGTCTTCTGCAGTGACGGTGGCCAAGGCTGTGGTGGTGGTGACGGTGGCAGCGTTGTTGCCCATGTGTTGACTCGCAGGGCCGTGGATCTGGGCATTGGCGGCTTCGATGGCGGCTGTCAGAGCCTTCATACTGTCCAGGCTCTCCGTGGAGTTGCTCAGTCCAGACTGGCTGATAATATCCCCTCGCTGGCCCTGTCCGTCCATGTAGGCGTCCTGGGCTGACTCTGTGCTACTCTGGGCTGTGATAGAAATGAAAGGTTTCGTGGTAGTTCTGGGTGGGACTGGAGGTGGTGTCTTCTTATATGTTGTAATGCAAGATGACACTGGAAGACAGCGAAAACAAAGACACTGATTTCTGCATGGGTTTTAACTGCTGATACTGTAACTGACACCCATTGGATATCAGGGCCCACGAAACACATCAAGACATTGAACGTGAAAGCAGGTCTGTCGATAGACTAAGGTCCCTGCTTAGGGGGCAGATGTGGGCCTCCTCCAAGGTGATACCCCCCGCAAGACTGAAGGAGAAAGAGACTGAAAAACACTGATCTCTGAGATGGAAGTTTCTGAAATGGAGATTAATATGAACCGACATAAAACAGACAGGACTGGCCATCTGTAGAAATCTTCCCAGGCAACAGGGAACCCTGAGAAATAATGAGTAACACGGATGAGGCCAGGGGCAGTCTGCCTTCTCGGGAAAATATTAACCGCAGCTAACGCTGAACAAAGTAGCTCATGGAGAAGATTCTGGTGGTTCATAAAGAACATTGGAAAAAAAAAAAAAGAACATTGGAAAAAAGAAGAAAACAAAGAGGTTGTAAGCTTGTGTGTTCTAACCCTGAGAACAGGGCAAAGTGCTGGTGGAGGGGGGTTTGGACGGGAAAGGAGAGAGGGCTGGGGAGGGGGTGAGCTGAGCACACTGTCATAACCTCCTGCAACTTGTGTTCAGCTGCACTCAGTTCCTCCTCCCTTTCTTCCTGCCTTTCTTTTCCTTTGTCTTCCCTCCCTCCCTCCTCCTTTTCTTCCTTCCCTTTTCTGGGTATGTGCTCACTATATAAACTTTTGTTCTGAGTTGTGGTGATGTTTCTGAGAGGGATGACGCTGCACATCCATCTCCTGTTAGAAAATATGTAAAATATTGTAAAAGTGCACCCGCTAGTGGGAGATCAGGCTTCCATAGTGGCTCGGATGGTAAAGTGTCTGCCTGCGATGCAGGAGACTTGGGCTCGATCCCTAGATCAGGAAGATTCCCTGGAGAAGGAAATGGCAACCCACTGTAGTAGTCTTGCCTGGACAATCCATGGACGGAGGAGCCCGTAGGCTATAGTACATGGGGTCGCAAAGAGTTGGACATGACTGAGCGACTTAAATCTCACTTTCACTTGGTGGGAGATCAGCCCTCCGGCAGCCTATCGGAGCGCACTCCCTGAAGCGCTGTCCCTCAGGGGGTGTGGTCAGCACGGGTGCCTGAGTCTGTGCAGCCACCAGTCCTTCCCTGCAAGCATCTGAGGATGCCCCTTGGTCTTGAGGAAGCTGGATACACTGTTCTCAGCTTTGCATGTATGGAGCATGATGGAGGAAAACACAGAAATGAAGGAAGTTTGGAAGTAGGAACTAGCCCCTTGGTAAAGAACGAGTCCTTAAACAGCTTTCCATAGATCCCTTAAAAACGGTTCAGACTACTGTGTTTCCATCACTTTCTCCCCCACCTCATCCCCAGCCCCACCCCCAGCCTTTCCCTTTGGGACTGTCGTTAACACTCACAGCAAATGCCAGCTAGTTACCCATGGTTCTAGCTGCCACTTGGGCTATCTAGTTGAATGAAATACTTGCTTCAATATTTAGGGTGTCTCTTGAGGTCACTAAAAAAAATGTCCTGTGATGAACAGTGAACAGGAAGATTGATTTTCTCTGTCCTGCTGCCCTGAGATTTGGTGTAATTTCCTGACCCATAAAAGACAGGGACAGAGATGCTTGACTACCTCCTAGGGGTTGTCTGAGAGTTGAAGGGAGAGGAAAGCACAGATGTCACAGTTCAGTATCACGTGTGCTCTGAGAGCGGGGGCAATGAGAATAGCAGACATGTGGCCACTGATTAGTTACCTGGGGCTGGCAGAGGCTCCCCCGGGAGAACCTTCCATCCCAGCTCTGCGTGACTCACACATCTTTACATTTGAACACAGCTCAGCAGTCTGCACTCCATCCTCGGCAGTTTTTAGCTAAGATGCCTGAGAGATAGCAGGGCCACAGAGGCTCACGGTGGCCAGTGGAGGCAGAGCTGGAGCAGGGCTAGGCTGGGCTCAGGTTCCCCGCGAGCACAGGGAAACCAAGGGATGCAGACAGGTGCATGGTTGATGGCTCCCCTCAGTCGACTGAGTTTCCTGCACTGTAACCACAAGGGAGCTACCTTCCGACTCCCAGGAAGTTTGGAGGGGACAACGCTCAGTGTCACTTACTCATCTGCAGACCACAGTGGGTGGGACAGGGAGTGGCCATCATTAGGGCGTGTGTGTTACTCACTCAGTTGTGTCTGACTCTTTGTGACCCCGTGGACTATTAACTTGCCAGCTTCCTCTGTTCATGGGATTCTCCAGGCAAGAATACTGGGGTGGGTTGCCATTTCCTTCTCCAGGGGATCTTCCAGACCCGGGGATCGAACCGGTGTCTCCCGCATTGCAGGTGGATTTTTTACCGCCTGCGTCACCATCTGATCTAGGAAACTAGATTATCTTGGGACTTCTACAGTGTGAACTCATTATTTTGTTCAAAATGGGCTCTCCACACATTTGGCTCACTGATACACCAACAAAATGAAATGCCACCTTCCAACATCAGATGCCTGATATTCTGAATAATCTTTTGATTGTTTGTCAGCTATCCCCAGTTTCCTTTCAGCATGGATAATCAAAACAGGATAATACAGCCAAACACAGTATCATATCATTTGCTGTGATTTACAGTAAAAATCCTGCCACAATGTGATACCTGTGATTTGGGGGTTGGGGAGTGTCACAGTATTCCTCGAGGGATGATGGGGTTGGCTACACGCCCCATAGGGCCAAATGCAACTTGGCGCCATCGAGTGACCCTTATCATCTCCTCTTCCATGTTAATAGGAATCATGTCAATGATTCTGGAGGCTGACCACCTGACCTGCCTCCTGAGAAATCTGTATGCAGGTCAAGAAGAGACAGAACTGGACATGGAACAACAGACTGGTTCCAAATTGGGAAAAAGGAGTACATCAAGGCTGTATATTGTCACCCTGCTTATTTAACTTATATGCAGAGTACATCATGAGAAATGCCAAGCTGGATGAAGTACAAACTGGAATCAAGATTGCCGGGAAAAATAGCAATGACCTCAGATATGCAGATGACACTACACTTAGGGCAGAAAGTGAAGAAGAACTAAAGAGCCTCTTGATGAAAGTGAAAGAGGAGAGTGAAAAAGTTGGCTTAAAACTCAACATTCAGAAAACTAAGATCATGGCATTTGGACCCATCACTTCATGGCAAATAGATGGGGAAACAATGGAAACAGTGACAGACTTTATTTTTTTGGGCTCCAAAATCACTGCAGATGGTGACTTCAGCCATGAAATTAAAAGACGCTTGCTCCTTGGAAGAAAAGTTATGACCAACTTAGACAGCATATTAAAAAGCAGAGACATTACTTTACCAGCAAAGGTCCGTCTAGTCAAAGCTATGGTTTTTCCAGTAGTCATGTATGGATGTGAGAATTGGACTATAAAGAAAACTGAGTGCCGAAGAATTGTGCTTTTGAACTGTGGTGTTGGAGAAGATTCTTGAGAGTCCCTTGGACTGCAAGGAGATCCAACCAGTCCATCCTAAAGGAAATCAGTCCTGAATATTCATTGGAAGACTGATGCTGAAGCTGAAACTCCAGTACTTTGGCCACCTGATGTGAAGAACTGACTCATTGGAAAAGACCCTGATGCTGGGAAAGACTGAAGGCGGGAGAAGAAGGGGGATGACAGAGGATGAGACGGTTGGATGACATCATCAACTCGATGGACATGAGTTTGAGTAAGCTCTGGGAGTTGGTTATGCACACGGAAGTCTGGTGTGCTGCAGTCCATGGGGTCGCAAGGAGTCGGACATGACTGAGCGACTGAACTGAACTGAACTGGAGGCTTGGATCAACAGGGACTCTCAGGGCAGGGATATCAGGCATCTATTAGGCTCAGACTGGACAGAAAGAAACCCTGGGACATTGCTTCCCCAACAGGTTGGTCAAGCCCCAGTGCCCAAAGGAGGTAAGAATTTGTGACTGGCTGCCTCTGAAACAGGGAACCGTCCACCATGGGGTCGCATTCCAGGGGCTTCGGTGTTGTCATCATTGTTCAGTCCCTCGACTCTTTATGACCCCACGCACTGCAGCACACCAGGCTTCCTTGTCTTTCACCATCTCCCAGAGTTTGCTCAAACTCATGTCCATTGAGTCAGTGATGCCATCCAGTCATCTCATCCTCTGTCACCCCTTCTGCCCTCAATCTTTCCCAGCATCAGGGTCTTTTTCAATGAGTCAGCTCTTCGCATGAGGTGGCCATAGTATTGGAGCTTCAGCTTCAGCCTCAGTCCTTCCAATGAATATTCAGGGTTGATTTCCTTTAGGATTGACTGGTTTGATTTCCTTGCAGTCCAAGGGACTCTCAAGAGTCTTCTCCAGCACCACAATTCAAAAGCATAAATTCTTTGGCACTTGGCTTTGTTTATGGTCCAACTCTCACATCTGTATATGCTACTGGAAAAACCATAGCTTTGACAATATGGACCTTTGTTAGCAAAATGATGTCTGTGTTTTTTAATATGCTAAGTTTGTCATAGCTGTTCTTCCAGGGGTTTTACTATGAGATTTTTACTGGTGTGTAGAACCTGCCACGATTCTGCAAGGGTTATTGGAGTCAAAGAAGTACCACCTGTCAGTCATCAAATAGGAAGTTAAAAGAAATTCAGATCTCTCAGACTGTACTTTGAGGACAAAACTCAGACAACTACATCCCCCAATTTTCCCCAGCATCACTCTTTCTTCATTTTGCAAACTAAACACTGTCTTCTCTCTTGTTTTCTTTTTTTCCCCTTCTTATAAATTCTAGTTTCACGATTCAGCACCACGAATGTTTTAGAATCCACTGAGGGGGGCATCCCTGGTGGTTCGGTGGTTAAGAATCTGCTTGCCAATCCAGGGGACACGGGTTTCATCCCTGTTCTGGAAGATTCCACATGCCGTGGGACAACTAAGCCCATGCGCCACAACTACTGAGCCTACATGCCCTAGAGCCTGTACTCGCCAACAC